TCCGCTTTGTGCATTTAGAATCGTATTAGCCAGAGACCTCTTTTCTCTCTGTTCCTGGAACGCCTTCGTGCGTCCACGATAAATGTATAACACGGTTATTTCTTTTTGTGCCGTCTCCGTCTTTACTTCGCCCAGTAGCCGGGCACGTCCGTGGGCGACAATAAGAGGTACTTTATTCTGTCCCTATTTCCTCCTCCCCCTCGGCATAAAAGTGGCCGAGAGCAGACATTTCACGGAAATGGACTTTGAATTGCCCGATTATTACCGTCCGCAGAAATCACTTAGCGCCTCGAAATAACGCGTAAAGATCTCACAATGGGAATACTTGATTCGAGCCCTAATGACCTAAGAGCTCCGACCGTTTCCACCGATGTTACACGATCATTTTTCGGAACTCCATTCGAAGAAAAATGTTTCACGCTTGCTTTCAGACGCTGGATTAACGGAAGAGGAAGTGGTGCTCGCTAAGACCATCGCCGAATCCCCGGAGAGCGAGCACACCGTTCAAAAGGCGGCGCTTGTTCTGCGTCTTCGCGAAGGGATCGGTTCCCTGGCGAGGATCCTGAAGACCATCGAGAATTTCAAGGGAACGGTGACTCACGTCGAGTCCAGACCTTCCAAGAAAGAAGGCCACCAGTTCGACGTGCTCGTGAAAGTTGACATGACCAGACAGAGTCTGCTTCAGCTGATTCGAAATCTTCGTCAGAGCTCCGCATTGGACGGCGTCACTTTGCTCGCGGACAACTCTGTCAGCATCAAAGACCCGTGGTTCCCGAGACACGCTTGCGATCTCGACAACTGCAACCATTTGATGACCAAATACGAGCCTGATCTCGACATGAACCATCCTGGATTCGCCGATAAGGAGTATCGTGCACGTAGGAAGGTTATCGCGGAGATTGCTTTCGCGTACAAGTACGGCGACCCGATACCAAATATTCCATACACCGAGACGGAGAACGAGACTTGGTCCCGCGTGTTCAACACGGTCATTGACCTGGTACCGAAACACGCTTGCGTGGAATATCAGAGAATCTTCAAGAAACTGCAAGAGGAGAAGATCTTCGAGCCGCATCGCATACCTCAGCTGCAGGAAGTGAGCGACTTCTTGAAGACTCACACCGGATTCACTCTGAGACCCGCTGCTGGACTGCTCACGGCTAGAGACTTCTTGTCGAGTCTCGCCTTCAGAGTATTCCAGAGCACCCAATACGTTCGTCATATCAACAGCCCGTATCATACTCCAGAACCGTAAGTATCTCTTAAGTATCTTTGAATTTTTCGTTTTGTAATTATTCTTCGAGCTCGTACTCGGAAGAAGAGATCTTTTCATACGTAGGAGGGAATACGAGGAAATCGATACTGCGTTATGATGAGAGCTAGCGTTAACACAGAGAACGATAATAATAGAATTACCGTGCCCCTCTAAGCTCGTAATGGAGCCCTAATTGGCTTTTAACGACACGATGGCGTTGATAACTCAGTTTCACAGTTGCGAACTCGTTTCTCCGCGGTAACAGCTTCCGCGTTCAGATTTTCGATACCGGCGAAAGCGTATCGCGCAAAGAAGCAATCGCCGTGATTTAAACTTGTCAATTGTTATTTGAAAAAACATCGGAGATAGTAACATTTCGTCTATTCCTCGTTAATTCCTTAGAGTAAAGATTACAGACATTTCTTATCTTTATTCTTCTTCGAATACTCATTTTAATACTGCTTTTTTCCAAGTCGCTATAGTAGAACGATCGCGTTATTTCTACAGACACGCGGACACCATTTCAACGTGAAATTTCAGATAACGAAATTATAGCGCAGAGATGAAAGCTCCATTACGATATTCCCCTATTTAGTTTCACGAGAACTTTCGCCCCTATTTCCCTTCGTTCTCTTGTCCTCGTGTATTAATATTCAGTTAAATTGCCTTCCTTCGGTATTAATAAGAACATAATACCACTGATACTATTAGCTTCGTTAATCGAGAGACTCCTTTAATTTCTCGTCCCTTCTTTTAATTCGCAGAGACTGCATCCATGAACTCTTGGGACACATGCCGCTGCTTGGTGACCCAAGCTTTGCTCAATTTTCCCAAGAAATCGGTCTCGCTTCTCTCGGCGCCTCTGACGAAGAGATTGAAAAATTATCCACGATTTACTGGTTCACCGTTGAGTTCGGTCTCTGCAAGGAGGGCGAAGAGGTGAAAGCTTACGGCGCTGGTCTTCTCTCCGCCTACGGAGAGCTTCTTCACGCTTTGAGCGATAAATGCGAACATCGAGCATTCGAGCCAACAACTACCGCTCTGCAGAAGTATCAGGATCAAGAATACCAACCGATCTACTTCGTCGCGGAGAGCTTCGAGGACGCTAAGGAGAAGTTCCGCCGCTGGGTGAGTGTCGCTCGATACTGGAGACTTCAATGCCTGGCGCGACGTGCGCCGAAACGCTCGGTTCTCTCGCGAGATACAATAGTTTAACAAATATTATCATTATCTTGTCATCTACTGTAAATCAGTTATTCGAGTGACCGATATTCGGTGTTCGACATTTTTCCAAATTTTTTTAATAACTTTCAACACGTTGCAATCTGAACGAGGTATGCTTGAAAAAGCACATACTTAAGATTTTCCAAATAATTGATCACATTTAAGAGATTTCCGGCTAAAAAATGGACCAGTTTTGATTTACTCGCGAATCTACGCAATTCTCCTCGATTGCTTATTCGAAAATTGTTCATTTCAGGTGTCCACCATGAGCCGACCGTTCGAAGTCAGGTTCAATCCGCACACGCAGCGTGTCGAGGTTCTCGACAGCGTGGACAGGTTGGACAACTTGATGTCTCAGCTGAACACAGAGATGACCCATCTCACGAACGCCATCAACAAAATCAAGAAGTCGTTCGCGTAAATACGCGGGGAATGTATCCCCTGTGACACCGATTGCTCCCTTCGCGAAAATCGCCGAGTTTCTCCGCAAGCTCCTCGATCTTCGACGTCTTTCTTCTCTATCTTTCCATCTAGTATTTTTCAAGTTTGCTCACTTAGGATTCGCGAATCTTATCTTTCCTCCGCGCTCAGAAATCAAGAGAAGCAAAATGTACATAGGTATTATATTTTTGTTTCTCGGAAAGACGTCGAGTTTCTCGTTGGCCCGGTGGTCTATGTCACGCGTCATCTTTATCATCGTTCGTCGTTCGCATTAAAAATCGTTCTCACTCTGTGTATAAAGTCGTCCATCCGCGTAGTTGAACGCACGTGCGCGTGTATACAAGGGTGCACGTTCGAGACGTGGATTCGACGTTTCTTTTTCTCTCTATCTTGCCCGTGGATCAAATTGATCGTTCCTAGGTATATATTAACATAATACGAATCACCGAGAACCTTAATCGTATCCTCCTAGTGTTATTTATTGAATTCGCGTTTACCCGGATTTGTCCAGGAGCGCGATATTCTAGCAAAAAGTATTATTGGTGGATCTCTGTGTCTGTTAAAAAACGCATCGAATCCGTTTAACGCTTTGAACGTTTCACGCGCACGTATTCTCGTTATCTCGTTACGTTATACCTATTGTATTTTATTCTATTGTATTACATTTTATTATTATTATTATTATTATTATTATTATTTCTAGGTTAGTCGTAGAGTATTACGTAGTCGCGTTTGAACTTTGCTTCATCCAGCCGCGATAGAACGTAATCAATGTGTCGTCTCGATTCAGAGATGAATTGTACGAAGAGACGACTAGTATTATATAAAGCAATGTAGGTTCTTTATTTTTAGATAGTTATTAACGAACACGTATTTTTTGGGGAAACATGCACGTTCTCTCGATCTGAATGCAAATCGCGACAATCGTCCGGCAACTTCCAAAAAAAAAAAAAAAAAAAAAAAAAAGAAAAACAGAAAAAAAAATAGAAACTAGGGTAGAGGAACTGCATTGTTTCCCGAGAAACTCGTTACCTACTTCTCACGAACATAACTTCGATTACGAAGTCACGGATCAGTGTTGCAATTAGAGACGCACCGTCTAGCGTGTAGTGCAAGAGTCCTTGCTTGCGCACCCTGCACTATTATCCCGTCGCTAACTCGTACCAAATACTTTTCCGCGTTCGTATCGAGGCGCACGCCTTTTTCACGCTTGCTCAGCTGTAGAAAAACGGTCGGCGCTTTCGCTAGATTTCCTTTGTATTATATTGTAAAGTACTCAGAGCATAATAAAAACCTAAGATATGAATCTTACCAATTGCTTTCGTTTATTCCTACCGATAAGCCGTACGTTATCGTTCACAGAAACATTTTTCTCTTTAATTATCGCAACGCTCTTCTCCATTTCGAACAACAATCCGTATACCTCTCACACACATACACACATTACTCGCGTAAACGACACGAATCGAAGTGAAATTCGCTTCCTGATCGTCCGCCTCGGGGCGTCGAAGAGGCTCGATCGTTGCCACCTTCCGTTCTTTGTTCGCTCCCCGAAAACGTCATGGCGATCGACACGTAGGGGCAAGATCGATTACCCAGCCGGCGAACGGGTAAAACCGCGTCCTCTACGGGGACCATGAAACTTTTCACGGTGTTGTGCGCCCTCGCGATACAATGTGCCGCGGCGAAATCATGGAACAACGATAGTAAGTGAAAGCGTGGTGGGTGATCGATGATCCAAGTCACTTCCTTCTTCGTTCGCGCAGGTTATTCGGAGGAGGCGTTCTCAATGTTCGGCTGGATCAGTCATCTGAAACGATTCTCCGTGATCGCGTTGATGTTGTCCGGCGTGGTTCTCTATTATGTACCGGAATCGCGACCGCGTGAGTACGATAGAAAGAATACGAAGAAAAGTAAACGAGCGAAACAGGAAAGAGATAAGAGTAACTCTCGGAAGACTTCCTGTGTAGGAGTGTTCTTCGTAAAATTGGAAAGCGAGATGATTTATATCGACACGACCGCAACACATTTTCCTTTATTCATCTTTAAGGCTACACGCGACACCGGGTGATTGAAATGTTTATTTCACAGACGCGCGCAGAATTTGTTACGCGTTGATCGATCTGACGGCGAACGGCTTGAAATCTGCGCTGAGCACGCGCGAGAGCGGGTACATGTACGAGAAGATCAAGTCCAAGTATCAGCGTGCTCGATACGAACAACTGTTGCAGAAGAGGATGTCGCAAGATACCCAGGACGAGGACTCCGATCGGGCGCAGAAGAATTATGGCAGACAGTCGAAAATGTTCCTCGAGGACGACGGAGTATTAGGGTCAGTTTGTGAAATTATTAACAATGGCTTTCGTTTTTTAGCAGAAATGTGCAAAATATTCTTCACAGATTGGTAGATCGTTGGTAGAAATGTGAAAAATATTTTTCGCAGATTGCTACGTCGTTTGAATTATAAAAGCCCTTCTTTTTAAATTAAGAACCGCGGGAAAGATGTATTTTACGAAAATAACAACAGTGAATATCTTGCAACAGTAAAGAAAAGAAAAAACTGAGCGGAAAACAGAACAAGGAGCACAGACATTCTGGTCACCGTTTTCGAAATGGCGTCATTAAGGATGTTCCGCCTGAACCTTGCATGGAAGTCACCAAACCAGTCTACTTTTACTCGGATAAATTGGAGGACATTGAAAAGTACCTGGAAACGAATTCGTCTAGTGGAAAACGTGTCAACGAATCGTCTGTTGAGAATTACGCTCTTCTAATCAGGTATAAAAATTTGACAAACAACTTACTTGGAATTTCTTTTACTTCGATTTATTACAGCGGCAGCCCGCGAGAAATGGCGATACTCGATGAGAAGTACGAGAAGGACGACTTGGTGATTGTACAAGATCCTTATCTAAAAGTGGAATACAAAGAATGCGGTACCTCGACTGATAAATTGTCTTCGAAAGCGGAAGCTTCTAGTTCAGAGCAAGAAGGACCTACCAGAGATCACAGTGATCACGCGACAGATTCGGTAATTAAGCGTTTTTACAGCTTGTCTTCCATTCTGTGCTTATACGGAAGGTAAAGTCGCTTCTCCGCGAGTTTTCACAAATTTCTCTAACGATACAGGTAATGGAATCGTATGTTAAAGAAGTTGAATTGAACTCGATACCAGAGGAAAACACGTCAAGGTACTCCGTCGATAAATCTCTGTATCAAACGAGCCAATATCAATGTGGCGGTGGATGCTGCGGACCAAGTGGCTGTTCCATGTCGTCAGGTGAACCGAGCAACAAAGAAGCTGTAGACTCGACGTCTCCAGTTGATGTAAAGAATATACTAAAGTAAATGAATCACTATACGTGTCGGAAATATTGGTAGGCATATTGTAATCTCCGTGACGAATCGTTTCAGAGCTTCTCGAAGTACGGTGTCTCCTAAAATCCACAAAAAAGTCGAAGAAAATGAAAAAAACTCATACACGAGCAATTACAGTAATTACAGTCACAAAGGTAAAGGTTCAGCGAAGACAATTAACTCGACCAACAGTCGCAGAGTGGATTTTCAAGAGGAAGACACAAACGATCGCGTGAAAAATCCTATGCAACGGGTAACTGATCGTTTTTAATTAGAAATTACACGAGATACGTTTGTACGGATTTCTATTTCGATTAGAAGTTCGAGGAGAGTGGACATCGGTATGAAAGCACATCGAGAGGCTACAGGAAGAAGTTGAGGAACGATGATAGTCCACGAACAGGTTTCTGTCGCAACAATACTTCTTATTTCACCGATCGGGGAGGGGAAGCGGACGACGAAAATTCTCAAACTGAACGAGCAACCACGAGACACGATCTCGACGAGAGACCTCAAAGAGAGAATCACTTCTATCGAAAAAGCTCCACCGACTCGATCTTCGATTATTACGACGACATTTATGCGGAACCCATGTTGAAGAGTACGTTTGAAACAGTATTTCGAGTTGCAGTTTAAACGAAAAATTGAAAATCGGTCAATTATGAATGTACAGAGTGTTTCACCTAACTTTGTCACCTGAGACATTTCTGCTATATTTGAAATATCAGAAAAATGTTTCCTACAAAAGTTACATAGCTTTATGGAAACTGTCCCATAGTGACAATAATTTCATTTTTTTGGGAAGGGTTAATGAAATGCAAAGGTCACTTTCGTTTCTTTTTTTAAGAAAATTTTATATTTTTCTTTTTTTATTTTAGCGGCCTACTATAAATTGGGGTGCACTGAAAACTATAGCGAGTCAAAAAGCGTTTATCTATGAAACAAAATTATTACTATGTTAAATTTTGAAACACTGTACATTGAAAAATTTTTTAAAAAACGCTAATATCCAGCGAACTGTTCTGACGATTCAGATCGACTGAAACCAACCCTGTTGCGTGCAATAAACTGGATCTTCGGCGGTTGTCCGGAGGCGTCGAGGCGAGCTGCTTTGAAGCGCAGCGAGGTCGGAAAGGAAGAGAGCCAAGGGTTAACCGACGAGTGGCTCCTCTAGCCAAGGATGCTAGACTTGCCGTTGCACACTCAGACCGTCGGCAAAATTAGAAATCTGCCGTATCCGATACCCACACGATCTCGTTAAAACAGTAACAATCCAACCAACATTCGAATCGTTCACTCGTCCCAAAATAACACGATTTCGAATAAATCCTCCGTATCTCGTCTCTTCACCGCTCGTCTACTTATCTCACTTTCGAACAGAATCTCGATCTCCTATAGAATCAGCTCCAAAACAACAACCAGACGAATTATCCGATTCCGCGAACGCGTCAATTTTCCAAACAAATTTCCGCTACGCGTCTGGAATACCGAACGACACGTATTCCGCGAAACGACGATTAATTTTCGCAAGAGTCAATATTTGGCCAGGATTTGGCCGATTTAATTTTCGAAAAACGCGACCTTCTCGCCGGTGCGCGCTCAACAGGCCGGAAGTGGATATCGCGCGTACGTGGCTTAAGAGCAATAAAAGAGGCCCGACTCCGCGAGCCGCCAAAAGAGAATGGGGAGAGACAGTCGTGCGGAGACCAAGAAGCGCGTCGGATCACGCAACGGAACCGCGAAATCATCGGGTAGCACGTGACGCTACTTACTGTTATGCACACAGTAGCGGATCGATCGATCCAACTATTGTTGTTTTTCTTTCCCCTTTTCGAGAAGACGTGGATTTTCGATATCGATCCGTTCCGACCTGTTTCACGCGATTAACCGTACATACCCAGCCGACTCCCTTCGACGGCATTGTCTTCGCAAAAGGGAACCTTCCACGCGGAGATAGTAGGGACGAAAGTATCGGCGTGTGTTCACGTAGCCGCGACTGGTGTGGCGCACAGTCTTTTTCCCTTTCGTTCGAAACGAGAATCTCGCGAGGCCGACGACGACGATATTCGGGCGTCGCGCGACCTGATAGAAAGTGCGCCGAGGAATGCTGAAGGAACGGTACATCGGTGTGTTCTAGCCGAGTGGTAAGTAAGTATGCGGTGAAATAAAAATAACACTGGAGGATCTTCGATCGTTCGAATCACTGAAACGGGTAGATCGACAGAATTTTTTACCTATTTTTCAAAGAAATACGCGTGCTCGTGGTTCATAAATAGCTCGCGAATGTATGTTAGAATAATAAAGAAAATGATAAAGATCGGGATATATCGGGTGCATCGTTCGCGACCAAAACACGGTCATGCCCAATCTAGCAGGCCAGTTCACCCGTAACGCGACTTACGTGCCGCGCCGGTACATTGTTAGACGCCGGAGTAAATTCCACGGATTCCACGGGACATGTGCGAACTGTTCTATTAATGTACCCATCACGTCTACCCTTCTCTTTCCTTTCAACGACGCCAGTATACACACGCATGCACCACGGATCCCGCTCTTTCACCGCTTCCATTTCCTCTCCTCTTTCACCTCCTTCAAGACCATCTCCTCCTCCTCCTTCTCCTCTTTCTCTTCGTCTTCTTTCTCCCGGCGCGGCGCCGACAGAACAGGAGAGTGCAGCGTATTTAAACTTTCGTTCGAAGGGGAACACGAGGCGAATGCCTCCGCCGATCCTCGCAGATGGTCCCGTTTTCATTCTCAATGAGAGAGACACGAGACACCCGGTAAATGGAACCGCGTGCTGCACGATATTACCGGAACGCGTCCGTCGTTGTCCCGTTTCTAAGATCGGGATGTAAAAATTATTAATGGATAGAAGAAGAGTATCGATGAAGAGTATCGAATAAATTCGTCTCAAGTCTCTCTCTCTGTTTTTCTTTTTTCTTCTTCTTTTCCTTCTTTCTATCGAAGAATCTTCTCGCGAGGAAATTTGTTATCGTTCGCCAGTTAATAACCCGCCGAGGTATTATTAACTAAACGTTTACGAGCGTACAATATTCGCTGCGTGTTTTCCTTGGCAAACCGCAACCGAGACGAACAGTTTTACCTGCTTGTCGGACGATTCGAACGTTTTATACGAAATTCGACGGTAATATCGAGCGCCCGTGGAACTCGGCCAAGCGAAGATATGTAAGATATGAAAAACAAGCGAATAGACATCCACATTCGTCACACATTTACAGTGTTTCTGTTCCCCACGTGCTACATTGGTACCTTTTTTGTTTTTCTGTTACACTTTGTGCAGTGACAAATGCGCGGAGCATGACGTCAAATGCGATTAGAGGTATTCGAAGGAAGAAGAGTTCGCTATGCGAGGTAAAGGTGGCTGTGATCGGAGCGCCAGGAGTTGGGAAAAGCGGTGGGTATAAACACGCCTTATCTTAAATCTTGCCCCATATTAGAAAGCTCCGATCGAAATATCCTCTTTTTCTCTTCTCTACTTTGTGAAAATTCAGACGGGCCGTTAACGCTTCGATATGGTTTCAATCGACACACCGTTTCGGTGGGATAGTTATGTAAAATACGCTTCTACTTTTAGAGCCGCGTTACTTTGTTTTCATCGGTCGGCACGCTATAACGCCGACCGCTTTCCTCTCCTTTTCACTCGACTCACGCTTTCGACGCGGCTACGGCGACGCTTAATTCCGCTGCAACCGTAACGAGCGTAACATTAACCGTAATTCTTCGTGTGCGACTTCGTACGAGATGCGTGGCTGGAAAATGGTAGATTTGTAAGAGACTAGACGTGAATTTTTAGAAATTCGATCAATTATTTATTAAATTTTTTTACCAGCTTTCCTCTTCAGAAACATTTCTGATATTCTGATATCGCTTGATTTCGTTACACGTGCAAGATAACGTTTCTATTAAACATTCTCGCAAACTTAAATTAACCCTTCGTAGGCAAACTTATTTTTTCACACTTCGTAGGCAAATGGGTCGTTTGTGTCCAAGTCTAATTTCTTTACTGTTCCGGGCTTTTAGAAAATTTGAAAAAATTCTGCAACACTTATCAAAGTCTCTACTAAATTACAGAATTAATTAAGCCAAATGTTCCAAACTTTTTTTAATAAAAATACAAATTCGTGAGTGAAATTTCACTTGGGTCATTAATGACCCATATATAAGGTCACTGTAATATAAAAATATTGTCAGTAAATATATAAAATATTTTGAGTAAATATATTTTTGTACTAACGTCCTCTTTGCCAGAATAACAAATATGATATAAGTGCAAGCTTATCTGGATCTCATCAGTTAATCCGAACTTGTTAGCATTTTAACAGCTTTGAACGATATCCAAGAAGATTGTCGAAGGTGTGGTAGAGCGTTGAAAAAAAAAAGTGTCAGGTGTTAATTCAAGTACAAGTGCACGGATCGAGCGCGTATACTTACTCGATAGGTGTGTGTGTGTGTGTGTGAGCGAGAAGCGTGGCCTAGGACCCTGAGAGTAGCCAACCGCGTGTATTTTTGGTAATGGCACGTGTTAAGGCATAGGTGAATAAATAATTGGTCGGACCCCGGCAACCGTTGCCGTCCCGCGCTGACCGCAAAGTGTTCGTACCCTATTTATAAAGTTTTATTTCAAAATTTCCTTGGATCGCGTTCTTATAAACGATTACAAGCCGTAGCGTCAATTTCCTGCGAATGAAATGGAAACCGACGGTTTGTATACACCGAAACAACGATGATACTGTTGATGATTCCGTTGTGGCTTCTGTATACATACTTTCCATCGGGGCAAGTATTTTTAACTTGCCAAATAATTGTTCGCTTCGTTGAAAGAAAAGGAATAAAGGCGGTTCGAGATAGTAGAATTGATCCGCGAGAGGAAAATTGGCACGAACAAACCGACCAACTTTTAACGAGCCACGACGTCGAAGGAAAGCATCGAAATCTAAGGACTCGGGCGTAAATACGTACACACACACACAGATCGCCGTTAAATTTTTAGTTTTCCACGAAACGCACGTTCAGGTGGTCGTGACAATCATGATATAAAGCACAACGCGGTGTCTGGTGTTTGAGCGTTTTGGTCAGGCCACTATGCGGTCAGTTTACAATTTTAGCCACCTTGGAAAATCCAGAAATTCGAGTCGAACGTTTCGCACGTTTTCGATTTAACGAAGCAACATTTCGATTTTCGCGAAAGAACGCTCGTGTTAAATATGTACTACGTGTGCATCGATGTCAGTAGGTAATCGACCCTGATTCGATATATTGCGTGAAGTTTGCCTCGAAAGTAACTTGTCCATGGCGTTTATAAAACAGGTCACTTTTCATTGAATTTAAGATGAAACACACCATGGTGACGTTTCAGCGCTCGTGCAAGGTTTTGTGGCGCCGTGGCAGGTTCGAGTTCGAGGTAAAAATAGTGTGGTATACCTCGAAGCGGGTCACTAGGCTGTAGCTCTCGTTTCTCTCGATCTGATCGCGATACGTCGGAACGCGTGTATCGTATCGAGCTGGATCGCGCACGTTTTCACAATATCAGGTGGAAATTGATTTTACCCGATCGGAATAGGGAAGAAATGTCAAAGTAACTGAACGTTCGAACTCGGTCGATTACTTAGATTACTCGCAAATCGACCGTGCGACGCGCGTTTTATTATCGACAAATTTTCTAACCTCTTTCGTTGATCGGTGTCTTTAATCATTCTAATTAACCGAATAGTAGAAGAAACGATGAAAATAGGACAATGAGCGGCTCTAGGAAAATGTAGGTTGACAACTTTCTAACAGATATGTGCATGGAATATGTATTGATGAATGCACAATCTAATACATGTCACGGTTTTGTACGTACTGGCGTGATAGATGGAACACGCCACTACAGAAAAGTTATACGGATACCGATAGAAACAGAATCGTAACGTGTCCGTGAAACACAAACGTTTCATTGCACATGGACTTGATTCGCGTTTATATCCATTAGTTTAGAACAACAACGTTTCAACAACGTGTACTCTTCTTGAATTCCAGCACTGACAGTCAGATTTCTAACGCGGAGATACATCGGGGAATATGATCACCAGTCAGGTAAGGAACATCTCAATTTACAAGTTCGTGGCCTGCTAGCGATAAGATGCGGCTTCTTGACGACGGTGTAAATTACGTAAATTACGATGAAATGTGAATAGAGTGGACAATAGAATGACGCATTTATTTGAAAAACTGCCAGCAAATGCTGTGGCTGTGGGTACCTCGGGGGCCACGTATACCTTCTCCCTACGCATACCTCCGGCCCGCGTCTGGTCTAAATTTATCGAAGACGAATTTGACACTAGACAGGACGGGTACTAATGCGAGGTTGATACTCGAACAAAACTTCTTGTTTTGTACAAATACAGAGACGCAGACAGGAGAGACAAGCAGCTCTCTAGCGAGCACGTGCTTCGTCGGGATCTAAAACTAGACTGGACTGGAAAGATCTACTTACCCGACGCGTCCGGCTACCTTATCTTTCGACTGCATGCGTTCCCGCGGTGAACATTTATTACATAATTTTTCCGTGTCGCACACGAATTGTTTCGCGCGCAAAGTCGTATCGTTCGCATTGAAAAAAAAAATGTGGTCTTCACGTTTCTTCTTTCTTCTTCGTTTTTTTTTTTTTTTTTAAAAAAAAAAACAAACTCACGTTTCTTCTTTCTTCTTCGTTTTTTTTTTTTTTTTAGAGAACAGATACAAACACGAGGTGTTGGTCGACGGTGAACCCATCCTTTTTGAGATTTTGGATACTTGCCCGAAGGTAACGTTTTTATCAACGATAATCGAGATCTTGATCGAACGAGATGGTTCCATTAACGATCGAAAGTGACACAATGGCGTCCTATTTCCACGTTCGTTTTCCCCTTGACGTTTCAGAGCGAAGACGAATTGCCCTCGACGGAGACTGTACAATGGGCGGATGGATTACTTTTAGTCTACTCGATAATCGACAGGAGTTCCTTCAATTTTGTAAGGAAGGCGAAGGAAACACTCGCGGTAGTTGATCCTGAAGCTACGATGCCCCTCGCCTTGGTTGGAAACAAAGCAGACATGGTTCACTTGAGACAAGTTAGCACGGAAGAGGGTGAAATACTCGCGAAAGACTTTGAATGCTGGTTCGGTGAAGTTTCTGCTGCAGAACAGGTATATATCTATTTGCTGATTGCGTAAATGTTTGTTTTTGAGTGTTTTTATTATTGTAAAAAAATGATTTGTCTCTTTAGGTTACTCAAGTTGCTGAATCTTTCCACGAATTGTGTCGAGAGGTTTTGGCAGCTAGGAGGAGGAATAAACAATCTTTATTGGACAGAATGCTCGGTAGCAAAGCGACGCGTGCTTATTCACGAGGCAAAAGTGATTCGGCACTTCCGAAAGATTAATATAAACGTAACTGTTTAATTTATTGATACGTAAATTTTATTCAAAAAGATAATGGAACTACGACGATTGCTTTCAAGGAAATTTTTAATGTATTCTTAGATTTTAAGATCGAATGGCACATATTTTATACATATATGTGTATTTGTTATTGAAGTTTTAGTACCAAAGATTTATGTAATATGATGCACTGTTTATGATTCATATGATATTATATAAATCGTATATAATATGTAAATTTATAGGTTTCGTATTACATTTTGTTAACGTGTAACGACATGTAACGTAAGCACAATTTTTTAATGTACTCCCGTGCTTTGTTTTGGGTGATAGGATTTACAGTTTCAATGTCAGTTCACTTACGTAATAGTTTAATGCAAGATACAAATGTTCGAATTGAAATTTCATTTTCTATTTCGTTACAATATGTAAAAAATTTATGGTTTGTTGATTTTCGAAGGCTGATTATAAATATAACTTGTGCGAACATAGTTTAGATAGATATGGAAACTTGTAATAGTTAATCTATATTTATTTTGTACTTACAATGAAGTTATGACAATAAATATTTTACTTATTTATTATATCACTGTGATATGTAATCCTAAAATCTTAACTTCAAAATAGACGATTTTTCTTGCATATTTCATAATGTTCATAAAGTTATAGTAATAAAACATTCTTATTTCTCTGTTAACACTTATGCCATAGATTTGCTTTATTTACACAATTCAAGGAATATTTACTTTCCATCGTCGTACGTTTCTAAAACATCCGCCAAATGTTCATTATCTCTTGGCTTTTTAAATTGTTTCCTCTTATTAATAGGTTTCTTTCTTTTGATCGGTGCTGGTTTTTTAGGACCATGATCTTGCATAGATCGTATTCCCTGTTTCTCTAGATACTCGTCAATCTTTTGATCATCCATTGCATCAACTGCAACAGCCCTCCACAACTTTTGAAATTCATCATCTATTGGGAATTGTGCTGTTTTATCGTTATAAAACACAATCTTTTTCTTGTCCAAGGGTCTTGTTATAAATAATATCTCATTTTGTAGACTCTAAAATTGATAGATTCCTATTAAAGTTGCTATTTAAAACTATGTATTATAACATATTCAGTCCCATTGTGCCTTTACTTGCCTTTAAATGTTTATCACAGTGAGGCAAGCTTTCTTGTATATCCTCTAAGAGTATTCCACCAAGACCTTTCAAGTCTTGTTGCTTTAATAGTCTCAATAGAGATTTCTTATCCTTAATTTTATACATAGCTTTGAATACAAATCTACCATCTGAAGTCGCTTCTATCTTTGGATTTTTGACAAGAGCTTCTGTTTGAAGCCACTGCTTTACCTAATGGAAAATCAGCATGATCTTTACGATCTTTTATAAGATCATTATTATATTTTTAAGTTTACCTTAGATCCAACATCTAGTTGGTTTGTTTCATCTAGTATTTCTTCTAATGTCAAAGGGTGATCATCCCCTTCTTGATGCCTAGCTTTCATATGCTTTACTATTTTGGCTAAAACACCAAATTTGTATTGCGTACTACCAGACATGGTTTTGTAGTTAACCATGTCCAATTTTGGACCGGTAGAAACAGTGGATGGTTTTGGTTTTTTTTTAAGTGGCTCATCTCGCGAAGAGTCCCTTTCTTGTTCCCTTTTCTTTTTCTCTACCCTATACAAATAAAGTTCGTCGTTCACAATATTGCATCGTAAAAAGTACAGATTACATTAGAAATATGTACATATATCGAAATGTAAGCTAAATTATTTCTTTATCCTACTTAAAGCTCAAGTTTTGCAGTAATACGTATTTACAGTACAATTCAAATTTGAGGTTAGAAAGTTTAATACGAGGCTAAAACGTACGTTGGTGTGCTGAGAGCTCTTTTTTTAAAGAGCTCTCGCTCCCTGAGCAACGCTGGATCCATTGTTTAATAAAATTTCAAATATACAAAAGTCAAGATCTTTTATTTAGAATTTTTTCACGAACTGTCACTTTTGCCACATTCTAACCGCCCAATGTACCGTCTACCAATCAGAAGTTCTTCTCCGTCTCGTGCGTCGAGAGAATGATGGAACAGTATTGCGCATGCGCCTACATACTTTCGATAAATCGTTCGATTATTTTAAACCATTTTCGTAGCTGAAATATCGAAGTACGGCGGCACGAATAAAGTCAAGCGGTACGGTAAAACGTGTGCATACGGATAAAGTGAAAAAAAAAAGTGAATATTACCATAAATCACAATGAATAATACGTGTACGTTATATTTTGAAGTTAATCTTTCAGTTTATTGTGTCAGTGTTTGTGTTATCTCGATTATTTATATATAATAGGGAGTTTTGTGTCAGTTTCATGACGTACTTGTGAATCTCTCAGAATCCCGTTTATCGTGATCGTGTTTCGCGTGTGCCAACTGGTGATTCATATTTCGAATTCGACATCGATCGTTGCAGTGAATCGGTATTTTACGACTTTGTGTAAGTACGTACGCTTTACGTGCTGAAAAGTGGTCCTAGTTCATGGACGTGTTTCCTCGGTCTCGGTGTCTGTGACATTTTGCGAGCGGAGCAGCCGGCTTCCTTTATTTCGCGCTTTACTTTACGAACGTCGCGTCAAAAGGGCAAAGCAACCGCGGCCTTAAGAGCAGTTCCTTCCACGAGTTTAAAAAGAGCGAACAGAAAGAACATATTGTTCTCATTGCAAGAGGTACGGTACTAACTTTTACATAAAGCGAGAAATCGCGTGCCATTTTGTCACGTACGCACGACCGTCCTATTTTCACACTTCATATTTCAATTCCTATAATTCGTTCTATCAAAATTTTCAACTGATAAAAGTGAACCTCTAATTTCAATACCAACGATTTATTCGACAAATCTCAATTCGGCATAATCTACGCTAATTATTTCCCGCCAATTGTTACGACGTAGTAACGATATTCCCGCCATATTGTCTAAAATTAACAAATTCAAATATGTCTCCAACATTCTATTCCCGCGTTCGGTAATCGCTCGCATTGCTAAAAGACGCGTACCTTTCCTCAAAGTTACCTATATCCGCTACAACACAAACGTCCGTAAGCGTAATACGTGAAATCATGGTCGCGGCCGCGTTCGTATCGCAGCGATCGCGCAAACATCGTGGTCGTCAACGTCAGGATTGCAAGCAAAACAATCGTTCGGTAATGTCAACATCATTCCGAACAGATTCGCGTCGGGATGTTTGCATTCGATAACCCGCTTCGTGACTTGTTATCGTTCTGACAGAGAAATGCTCCTCCGTGTATCTCCTACGGTTCGTCGTACGGTTTTTGCGTCTCGACGTACCGACCGAGCAGCCTGTGGTTCCCTTTGCTGCGCATCGGTATCCGTGGATAGAATTCGGTCGTAGCATGCGCGTTAAGCGTGCGCTTTCAGCTCCGAACCGGGACAGAGAAAGACGGGGAAAAGTGTGTCGCGAGAGCGAGAGAGCGAAAAGAGGGCGCGCGTGAGAGGGTGTACGAAGGGGTTGGTTGGTGGAGATGGCACCGTAGAGCGGGATCTGTAGCACGGTGGGCAGAGGAGGGCGACAAGGGTAGGCGCGGGGAGGCGCGAGGAGCGACGAGAGAAGCG